GGAGAGGGGACTGTCTGGCAGGGGCGGTCTGATATGGTGTATGAGGGAGCCCAGGGCCGGCGGCCAGGGGCGGACACGGTCAGCTGGCCGGCTTTGGGCGGGCCCGCAGGCTGGTAGGAGGTTGCTGGGACCCGGCTCGCCCGCTCGTCGGTTTCCCACAGGCCACCCTGCTGCCAGCGCCCCTCCCACCTTCTGAGCCGGCCCCTGCTCGACAGCCCTCTGCCCACAGACGCCGCTCGCATTTCGTCACCTCTTTGGACCAGGACCCCGCCCACGACCCCCTCTCACACCCGGCCGCTCTCTGCGCAGGTTCTCGGTCCCCGAGGGCGGGAAGGTGGGCGTCATCGGCAGCGGCAAGGGCATGACGGATTACAAAAAGCAGGGGCGCCACGAGTTCAGCCTGGACGCGTGACGCGCCTACGATGAAGTTTTGCTAGGGCGCGGCTGGCGCGCCCTTTCTTTCATCTGACTATTTTTTGTGCCGTGTGTTGACCGTTGTCTGTTTTCCAGTGCTTTCGTGGGCGTGCTGTATTGTGTTGATAAGCGGCGTGCGCCCCATGCCGCAAGCACCCCTGTAAAGCTAAGGTATGAGTTGAAAGGAAGCGGTGAGGATCAGGATTGTTACAGCATCCGGCAGTCGGCAGCATCTAGAGGCATCCAGGCTCATGAAAAGGGACTTGAAGCACCAACGTTGGGTGAGTGAGATTCAGGTGGCTACCGTCCGCGCCGCTCAACGCAGGCGAGCATGTATGCCCCTCATGCATGCTGGTCTGCAGAGAGCACAAACACGCGCATGCAGGCTTGTGCGCGCAGGTTTGCATATGAGGGCGCAAAGTTTGCCTCATTATTACTAATGACCTGCGTAGTACGCAGGTCACGTAAGCAGGGCAAGCAAGCAAAGCATTCATGTTGTGTCAAGGCCTAGGCCGTCGTAATTGGGGCGATTGGTGGGGTGTAGCTGTGCAGGGTGGGCGACGGGACGAAAACAGCAGCGCAGGCGCATGAGCGCCCGTGAGTGTTGGTGGTGTTAAAATCGCGACGTGCGGCGGCATCGCAGTAGTAGTAGTAGGGCTTGCATGATAGGAAGCCAGCATCAGCGTGGCAGCTCATCAGCATCACGTGCAGCAAAGCAAGCCTGGATCTCTCCTCACCCGCCACGACTACGCTAGCAGCCTCGCAGCACGGCCCACTCCGCCAGCATTGTCCTGAACCAGCAGTGTCCACCCTCCCATTTGCTGGCGCATGCTGGATATTGCGGCTGGGAAATGGTGCGGTGTTATTTACACCCCCACCGCGTACGCTGCCACAGAGGCGCCCAGGGCGCGGCTCCCCGCGGACAGCCCATCCACACATGCAGCCAAGCACCGCTCCAGGTGCCACAAGCCTGCGCCGTGCTCAGAGAGCGGGCGAGGGAGAGGTAACCCGCAAATGCACATTATGAATGCCCGCGTAAAGTGTCTCCTACTGCTGCATGCGGCGCCAGTCGTGCGCCGACACAGGCTGGGCGTGAGGGTCAAGTGGTTGCTGCCTGGCTGCATGGCAAAGCATTGAAAAACAGTCGGCAGCAGGTATGAACGACTGCAGCGATGAAAGCTGATGCTAGTCTAGCGCCGCGCACACATGCTCTTGGGATGCATGGCCATGCACACACAAATTCACTCAGATGCAAGAACATGCGCACAAACAACCGCCCATGCGTGCGAACCCACGCAAAACCCTGACACATGGCCTTGCGCGCACGCATACGCACGCGTTTGCATTGGGTGCTGGGCATGCAGCCATCCACAACACCACGTTTCAGATTAGCCCCTGGTTCCAATGACGGACCACCTTTGGACACACTGAATCACGCAGTAGCGGCTGCCACTGCCTTTGGCTGACGCCATTAGGGAACACCGCCTCATGCGGTAGTAGGCCGCTGCCGCCGCCGCACGTAAGGAATGCACACCATGCCTGGCGAAGCGTGCGCCTTGCAAAAAATGCCCTTAGTCTCGCCCTCAAAGTTGAAGTTGGGACGCATGGTGCAGCCGGGCGCCTGGCAGCGGGGACTGACCACATTCACCATGCCTGGCGCAGCGTGCGCCTTGCAGAAGATGCCCTTGGCCTCCCCCTCGATGTTGAAGATGGGATACGTGGTGCAGCCGGGCGCCTGGCAGCGGGGACTGACCACATTCACCATGTCTGGCGCAGCAGGGGCCTTGCATTAGATGCCCTTGGCCTCACCTTCAAAGTTGAAGTTAGGCTGTTTGGTGCAGCCGGGCACCTGGCAGCGGGGGTTGTACACGTCAACCATGCCTGGCGAAGCGTGCGCCTTGCAAAAGATGCCCTTGGCCTCGCCCGCAAAGTTGAAGTTGGGACGCGTGGTGCAGCCGGGCGCCTGGCAGCGGGGGTTGTACACGTCAACCATGCCTGGCGCAGCGTGCGCCTTGCAGTAGATGCCCTTGGCCTCCCCCTCAATGTTGAAGATGGGATACGTGGTGCAGCCGGGCGCCTGGCAGCGGGGCTTGACCACGTCCACCATGCCTGGCGCCGCATGGGCCTTGCAGTAGATGCCCTTGGCCTCCCCCTCAAAGTTGAAGCTGGGCTGCTTGGCGCAGCCGGGCGCCTGGCAGCGGGGGTTGTACACGTCAACCATGCCTGGCGCAGCATGCGCCTTGCAGTAGATGCCCTTGGCCTCCCCCTCAATGTTGAAGATGGGATACGTGGTGCAGCCGGGCACCTGGCAGCGGGGGTTGTGCACGTCAACCATGCCTGGCGCAGCGTGCGCCTTGCATTAGATGCCCTTGGCCTCCCCCTCAATGTTGAAGATGGGATACGTGGTGCAGCCGGGCGCCTGGCAGCGGGGACTGACCACGTTCACCATGCCTGGCGCAGCGTGGGCCTTGCAGTAGATGCCCTTGGCCTCCCCCTCAAAGTTGAAGCTGGGCTGCTTGGCGCAGCCGGGCACCTGGCAGTACTTCCTTGCATCTGGCTCCACACTCAACTTGGGGCTCAGATCAAAGTCAGGGCCACAGCCTGTGCTCTGGAGCTCCAAGCTGCGGCGTGAAGAGCACAGCGCCTCACTGGGGTGGCGCTGCAGATGTTGCGCCCATCGCCTGTCTTGTGCGCAGCGTGCGGCGCCGCCAGTCTGAAGCCAGAGGATTGACCGCGGCTGTGTCGATCTCCATGATGGCTGCTGGCTGGTCTGGCCAAGTCTCAACATGGCAGGCGAGGGGGGGCCTGAACGACACGGGAGGCGGGGGATTT